GGTCATAAGACAATAGACCAGAAAAGTGTCTCGTAGAGAGAAGGTGGATAAAGAGCCAGTACGGGGAAGCAGAGTGGTTGCCACAAAGTGGGCTAGAACACGAGTTTCGAAACTAACATCACTAGGGCCTAGCTGGTTTGGAAGTGATTCAGAGGGACACTCAATTATACATCTTTTGGCTTGATCAAAGGAAATTTCAAAATCATCGGGCTAGGAATTTTTAAAGAGCATAGGGAAACCAAAACACTTGCACTGAAAAATTGAATCAAACATGGCATAGTCAAGAACAATACGCTTTCCTAACACTAAGGACTCCAATTTATCAAACCTACTAGAATGAAGATTAGCATAGAACATTCTCACTAGGGGTTCATAGACTTTAGGCGGAGGAATAGAGAAGAACTTCGACCACCCTTGATAAACGAAAAGGTCCTTTACCTTACAATTTAGGGCTTCCATGTCATCAAGGTCGACTACCCTCCCATGAGCAATAGGCTTGTCTTTTAGGGCAAGAAAGAAGTCCATATTTGGAGAATCCCAGAAATTGAGTTCCGACTCAAGAGAACGGAAAAGGTCGATTTTTGATTTCTTTGGAGTGAAGGAGACAGGGGGTTCTTCCATGGGTCTTTTTCCCAGGGCTTTTTCTCCTAGTGGCTGAGAATGATAAGAGAAGTCTGCCTGAAAGGAGGCAAACCCCTCAGAATGATCAGACCCTAGGACTACTTGTTTGGGGGGATGAGAAGGGGGTTTTGCCCTAGAGCGAGTGCTCTTTCTAGTGAAGGCAGATGGATTTTTGGATTGTTTAGCCATTAAAGAAGGTTGACGGTTGAGCAGGTTTTGGGAGAAGGGTTGTTAAGCGATAGAGACGATAGAGGTTGAAAAGAAAGTTCAACATAAAAAGAGAGTTTCTGACGGTTGAGTACAAAAAAGGAAAAGCCGTCAGTTGATCAGACGCGATGATTGGTTTTCTTTCTTTGAACTCTGCAACTAATGTGAAAGAGAAGAAAAAGGAGGGAAAACGGAGGCGTAATTAATGAGTAAGAAAAAGATATGGAATATTTTACATACAAAATTAAATAGTGGCACATAGGTCCTAATTTTAACTATTAATGAAAATAATACCAAGTAATTTTTTTAGTGAAAAAAATCTCTCTTCTAACAAAGGCTTGGTAATAATATCCGCTAATTGATCAGTTGTTCCAACAAAAGATATTTCTATATTTCCCTTAAGAACATGATCTCTAATGAAGTGATGTTTGATGTCTATATGCTTTGCCCTATAGTGATGTACATGATTTTTAGAGAGACATATAGCACTAGAATTATCACAGAAAAATTGGTATAGGATTAAAAGAAAGTTCATAGTCACCAAGTTGATGGGACTCCACAATAGTTGTGCACAACATTGTCCAATAGCGATGTATTCAGCTTCAGTAGTAGATAATGCAATTGATGCTTGTTTTTTACTGTTCCATGATATCAATGCTTTAGCAAGTAATTGACATGTTTTGCTTGTGCCTTTTCTATCTTCCTTATCACCTGCAAGATTAGCCTCTGAAAGACCTTCTAATTTAAACGAGTTAGAGCGAGGATACCATAGTCTATGAGAGACATTTCCAATAATATATCGAATAATGCTTTTTACTGCAGTCAGATGTGATTCCTTAAAAGCTGACTGAAACCTGGCACATTTATAGATACTAAACATAATATCCAGTCAACTAGCAGTCAGATAAAGAAGTGAGCCAATCATTCCACGATACTTAGTTTCATCAACAAGGATTCCCCATTCGTCTTTGTCACGACTCATTGAAGGACTCATTGGTGTGCAAATGGCTTTAGCATTGCTCATGCCAAATTTTTGAATCAATTCCTTTGTGTATTTGGTCTGACATATAAATGTTCCTTCTTCAGATTGTTGGATTTGAAGTCCAAGGAAGAATGTTAGCTCTCCTATCATGCTCATTTCGAATTCACTTTGCATAAGATTTGAGAATTCCTTGCATATATGAGGGTTAGCACTACCAAATATAATATCATCAACATAAATCTAAATAATGAGATTACCTTCTGATGATCTTTTAATAAATAGAGTAGTGTTTACTTTACCTCTTGTAAAACCATGATTAATAAGAAATGAATTGAGTCTATCATACCATGCTCGTGGAGCTTGCTTTAGTCCATACAGTGCTTTGGTTAGCTTATATACATGGTATGGAAACTTTGAATCTACAAACCCAGGAGGTTGCTTCATGTACACTTCTTCCTCAATAAATCCATTAAAAGGAACTTTTGACGTCTATTTGAAACAACCTGATTCCCTTAAACAATGCATATGCCAGAAGGATTCGTATAGACTTCAGTCGAGCTACTGGAGCAAAAGTTTCATCATAGTCGACTCCTTTCTGTTGTGAATATCCTTGAGCAACTAATCTGTCTTTGTTCTTTACAACTTTTCCATCCTCATTCAATTTATTTCTGAAAACCTACGTTGTTCCAATTACAGAAACATTTTCAGGTTTGGGTATCAGTTTCCATACTAGATTTTTGCCAAATTTATCTAACTCTTCCTGCATCGCTTGTATCCAACTTGAGTCTTTTAGAGCTTCCTCTATGTTCTTTGGCTCAACCTGAGAGATTAATGCTATGTTTGCTTTCTTTTTGAGAGCTCCCCTGGTTTTCATTCCTTCATTTGGGTCCCCTATGATGAATTTTTGAGGATATTCAAGTTCATTTCTCCATTCATTTGGACGAACTGTATGAGTAGTTGACTCCTTCATATGTTCTGGTATACTTGCTAATTTCATTAGTTGACTCTATCATAGCATTAGATTCATCAGTCGACTTTTGAGATTTGCTTGTCCCTTGAATTTCTTGAGCTTGATCTTCATCACCTTTCGATAGTTCATAAGGAGTCTTCTTCAGAATGGGCCTTAAGAGACATCGGTTGAGAATATGACATGCTGTACTTATACCTTCTGCCCAGAAATGAATTGGTAGTGAATGATCTAGTAACATGGTTCTTGCCATATTTGGAGGGTTCTGTTTTTCCTTTCAACAACTCCATTTTGTTGAGGTGATCGTGGTGCAGAGAAGTTATGAGTATATCCCTGATCACTACAGAAGTCTTCAAATGATCTGCTTTCAAATTCTCCTCCATGATCACTCTGGATTGTTGCAATCAAATACCCCTTTTCTCTTTCAACCTTCTTACAGAAGATCTCAAAATTTTTCAATGCTTCATCTTTATGAGATAAGAAAATCACCCAAGTGAAACATGAGTAATCATCAACAATAACAAAATCATATCTTTTTTCTCCTATACTGGCAGTTCTAGTAGGCTTAAATAAATCCATGTGAAGCAATTACAAAGGTTTAGAAGTAGATACAATATCTTTATTTTTGAAAAGGTTTCTAGTTTATTTTCTTATTTGACAGGCATCACAGATAGGAGTTCTAGAAAAATTCAGTTTGGGTAGACCAATAACCAAATCATGCTTGGACAATTTTTCTATCAAATGCATGCTTGTATGACAAAGTTTCCTATGCCATAACCAAAGATCATTAGCTATAGATGTTAAACAGATATGACCATCTATATTTTCAAAACTGTCAAGAATATAAACATTTCCATACCTTTTACCTGGGAGGATTATTTTACCTGTCTCATCTTCAATAGTACGGCCTATTTTCTTAAAATTTACCTCATATTCTAAGTCGCATAGCTGACTTATACTCAGAAGATTGTAGTTAAGTCCATCGATGAGATAAACTTCAGTAATATCGCAGTTGTTATTGAAAGGAATTTTTCCAATATCGATTATCTTTCCTTTTGAGTTATCTCCAAACTTAACGCTTCCTCCATCTATTTTGTAACTTCCTTGAAAAGGTTTATATCACCTGTCATATGACTGGAACACGCACTATCTAAATACCATTTTCCTTTATGGCTTCTCCTGTGGTGTTCCTACAAAATATAGTTATTACTTTCTTTTAGGTACCCAAGCTTGCTTTGGTCCTGGTGGGTTAGTACTGCTAGGTTCAGAATTGTTTTTGGGTTTCCAAATCCATCCTGAAATATTTAACTTATGAAAGCGACAAAAAGAATATTTATGTCCACTTTTATTGTAGTAGTGACACTTAATTCCTGACCCCATTTTTAGGTCTTTTATTAGTGTTAGTACTAGTGGACTCCGTTCTGACTGGTCCTTCTCCAATTGACTTGTAAGTCGCCTAGTTTGACTTGATAGAACTATGACTGGTGGATTTGCGTATGCTATTGAGTTGCATTTGCAATTCCTCAAACTCTTTTTGAAGTACTTCTTTTTCAATTTCACATACTTCATGTTTGAGCTTCCAGTCTTTTACTTCTTTGTTGAGTTTCTTAAGCGCATTCATCATTTTTTGAGACTCTTTCAAAGTTAGATCAAGAATATCCTGCAATTCATTGCATCTTTCACAGTTATAAGATCTTACCTCGTTTGTTTCATCTCGTGCCATGAAGCAGTTCTCATTGTTATCTTTGCATTTGACATCTGAAGTGTCCTCGTCTATCCAGCATCCTGAAGATTTGTTCATCTCATTTTCCAGAATCGTCATGAAGCAAAGATTTGCTATCTCTTCGTGTTTTGAACTGTCTTCATCACTTCAACTTCCAAATGATTTGTTCTTGTTAAAGCTTCTGGAAATGTTCCTTTTTAGATATGGGCACTCAGCTTGAATGTGTCCAAATCTTCCACATTCATAGCATTTTATATCATTCTTATCCTGTTCATGTATTGCATGGATTGCCTAGGTGGAATCCTTGTTCTCCTCGTATTCTTGAATCTTCTCATTAAACCATCCATGTTTCTTGACATCATAGCAATTTCTTCTTGAAGGGATTCAGGATCATCATCAATATCATTTTTAGCTATTTCAGTTGTGGCCTTGAATGCGACTGTTTTCTTTTTTTCTTCTTGATTGGTTTTCTTAAGATGTGTCTTTTCAAAAACTATGAGTTATCCCCATAGTTCATCATAAGATAACTTATTTAGATCCTGAGATTCAAGAGTGACTACTTTGGTCTGCCAGGTAGTTGGTAGGCTTCTGAGAATCTTTCTAACTTGATCACCACTTGAATATGGTTTGCCGAAGGCTTTTAGATCACTAATTATTTTGCTGAATCTGGCAAACATCTCTTCAATAGACTCTCCTTCTTTCATTTGGAAGAGTTCGTAATCATGAACTAACATGTTGATATGTGTTTCCTTTACCTTGCTGGTTCCTTTGTATGTAACCTCAAGCTTGTCCCACATCTCTTTGGTTGTGTCACAGCTAGAGATTTTCTCATACTCTTCACCTCTTATAGCATTATAAAGCAAGTTTCTTGACTTATTGTTGACTTGTACCACTGCCATTTGCTCGTTTGTATATGAATCTACATCTTCAGGATCAGCAAGTGGTTGAGCGGAAGCTGGCAGAGGAAAATTCCCCTTTTTGATGACTCTCCAAACTTTCACATCATACGCCTTTGCATATATCTTCATACGCACTTTCCAGTGGGAGAAATGTTGTCCATCGAAGTATAGTGGCCTTACTTGCGAAGTTCCTTCCCAGAAAAGTGCTCCTACGATAACTTGATTTGCCATTATCTTTTCTCACGAGCTATTAAGCAAAAGAAAAATGTGAGCCTCGCTCTGATACCAATTGAAAGTACAAAAGGGGGTAAATTATTTATTTTTAAACTTAATTGCTATTAGTTGACTAGTTTTGCAGTTAGTTGACTAGATGTAATAAGTTGACAACAGTAACAATAGAATTTAAGATGTTGAAATTAAATGCAGGAATTAAAGACACCAGAATTTTTATACTGGTTCGGATTCAATGTGAATCCTAGTCCAATCCCCTTGGGTTGCAAGGGAGTTCTTTTCAGTGAATGAGTTTCTTCGAGTACATAGAGAATGGTGTGATCTATACCGATAGCTCAGTTCCTATATTACTCGTCTCTTTTGATACAATGCCTCACCAGTGTTGTTCTCTCTTTCTTCTCTAACTTGTTACACAACAGGTCTTAGTAGAGCTACAATATTTGTTTATAATAGAACAAAGAGAGGGTGTTTGGTTCGATCAAAGTATATATGCTAAGGTGTGATTACAAGTTTAAATACTTTGAGAGAGGCTTGAAGTCTAGAAAGATTTGCCAACCCAAGAGATTTGATCCTTGGAAAGAGATTGATTCTTTCCAAGAATAAGGCTATTCTGCAACGGCTCTTTCGGACGAGAGGCTGTAAAGATTTTCCCTTGTGTGTGAACCCGGAATCTTGATCCTCCCATATTTAATATACATGATTTATTTGATTTCTTTAGTTTAGCCTTGATTGATTCCGTCAGTATCAATTTCCTTGATGTTCTCTGATTGATTTCGTCAATCTTGTATACCAATCCATACATTCCTTGATCATTGCTGATTGATTTCTCCAATCTTGAATGCTATCCAAGAGTTCCTATACAAATAGCAAATACATTATTTTCATCATCAAAATTTGATCTAATACACTCAATATAGCAACGTCGGTTCATGGTAAGGAAAAGAATTAGATAAACCTGGAATCGGAAATTTTAACATCAATGTAAGTATCTCTGAACTAGTGGTTGTTTTAGGAGAAATTAGAGACTAGGTAAGATATCCTAGAGAAATGAGGTTGAACCTCAGCAAAAGAAGTCAAGAATTTTTGTGTGACTTCCACAATGATCATGGTCTCAAAATCATGGATTGTAAAATCTTACAAAGCGAGGTAGCTCATCTTTTAAAGGAAGGATATCTCATAGAACTATTCAGCAAAAAAGGCGAGCAATCCTATATGAAGAATTGAAGCAAAGATGGACCTTCGAGAGCCCTATCTCCAAAAAGAACAGTTAATGTCATATCCAAAGGTGAACAAATCACGGGGTAATGTTCACATCCACAAAAAAGGTTTGCTAAGATGTCAACCCAATATGAAAAATATTCCCAAAAAACATTGATAGGAGAATGTAGTACCTTTAATGATGAAGATGCAGATGGCTTGACAACGCCACATAACAATTCCTTGGTAATTATGTAACCTATTTTAGATACTAATGTACAATGAGTTTTGATTGACCCATCTACTTCAGTCAACTCATCCCATTATGAGTTCTCGAGGAGATACAACTAACATATTAGATCATTCTGATATCTCCAATCACTTTTCGAGTTTGGCAGTTCAAGTTTAACAACACGAGGTGAGATTATTGTAACAAATTCTATCGAGGAAGTAGTTAAAGAAAATCTATTCAGGTAGTAGCCGTAGATAGGTCCTACAATATTATTCCTGCAAGACCATGGACCTATGATATGGATGCAGTACCATCAACATTGTACCAAGTCGTCAAGTTTCCATCCAAAGTGAGAATCGGGCAGACCAAGCAAGATGAATAAGCTGCTCAGGAGATAAAATCGGTAGCTATTGCTAAGGGTTTATCCAAAGATAGAGACATCGAATATCAATTAAACAAGTCGAGATCAAGGGATGTCAAAGCTCCTTCAATTAAGAAAGACCATGCACCTGAGCAACTAAATGAAGACATTTCTGATAGAAAAATCTCGAGTGCAGTCATTGAGCCAGAGGAAACGAATGCTACTAAGTCTACCACATAGGAATTGGAAACTATCATACTGTTCATCAACTTCTGGGATACGAAGTTTTATATTGGTTGGGGACTCGACCCAGAAATTAGAGGTAAATTAATTGAATTTTTACAGGCTAATGCAAACTGCTTTGCTTGGTCCCATGTTGACATAAGCTTACCAGCAGAAGTGATGACTGTATGTAGTCAAAATCGAGGAGCATGATATTTTGAAGTCTTAAAACGGGCTATAGGTCCGAGCCCGGGAGACTCGAAGTGGAGATCGGATACGACTGAGGGACATCCTCCTCAAGGAAGCTAATCGAAGGCCTGTCACGATCTATATCGAGGGCATCACAATCTCGAAGTCAATCAAGAAAGAGCGGGAATTTCTTAGGAACACGTGGACCGGGGCATTAATTGAAGGATAAGGTTTGTACGAAATGGTACAGATCCGTACTAGACCGTTATACACCTGTACCAATAGAATCCTTTAATTTTATGAGGAATGTACTATGTTGGGGTTTTCCCCTCCTATATAAAGGAGAACCTAATCATTTTGTAAGGCATCAGATCATTCACTGCAATAGAACATTCTTATTCTTCTTGTTTAACGTGCTCGACAATTATTTTTCAGCTTTACATCCTTTACTTTATTGTTCATACTTTATTGATCTTCACCGATCTCGAGCCCCCTGGATAGCCAAGCTCGAGGCCCCTACTGCTTCAACAAATTTGGTTTAGTCTATTATTTCTTCTTATGTAAGCTCAATATTACTTGTTTAATCACTAGTATTAGAATATATCACGTATCTTTAAAACCACAAATTATCTTTAATTGTTAAACCCATTTTTTGAGGTAAGCAGTTTGGTGCCCACCGTGGGGATAAATATAATAATGATTATTTTAGTGTTAGTTTCCTGATAACACACGTTATTCTTCACACTTTTTCTTGTCAAAGATTCTTTGATTTCAGGAATTATCATGTCTAGCACACAGAATGCACCTATTCACGAGGACGAAGGTCTAGGAGAAAACATCGGCATAGGGCTCGATATACCACTTGTAAACCCTGAGGGAGTGCCAAACATGGAGCCAGTTGATATCAGCTCCCATAGCGCTCTAAATACGGAAGAAGCCATAGACCCCATAAGGAATGGACACAGGGAAGCCCAGGCTAGAGGCCAGGAAACACGAGGACCGGAAGAAGGAGGATTCAGCCTCCAGGTGATATTTGGGATGTTTCAAGCTCAGCAAGTTGCCATTCCTCAGCTTCAGAGTTAGAACAGAACTCCTAACACTACCGAACCAGTAAACAAACAACACGAAATTATATTTGAAAGGCCCGATGAAAGCGGCTCGAGGACTGCACAATCATGAAAATACTCAAGGAACTGACTAAAAGAATCGAGTCAGGAGAAAAGAGGATAGAAGACAACGATGAAAAGGTGGAAACTTACAACTCCCAGGTGGACCAAATACCGGGAGCACCTCCAGATTTGAAGGGACTAGATGACAAAAAAGTCATACAAAAACTTTTCCCCTCGAGTGCGGCTCCGATACCCATTCCCAAGAAGTTTTGCATGCCCAATATACTGAAGTACAATGGAATGACTGACCCTAATGAACATATTACTTCTTACACTTGTGGAATTAAAGGAAATGACCTGAATGACGATGAAATTGAGTCAATATTGTTAAAAACGTTTGGAGAAACACTATTAAAAGGAGCTATGATCTGGTATCATAACTTAGCTCCTAACTCCATTGATTCATTTGCCATGTTGGCAGATGCCTTCGTGAAAGCACACATCGGGGCCATAAATGTGGCCATAAAAAATCGGACGTGTTCAAGGTAAAGAAAAGGGACGACGAAATGCTAAGGGAGTTCATGTACCGATTTCAGATGGAAAGGATGGAACTACCCTTGGTCTCCGATGACTGGGCAGTTCAGTCCTTCATGCAAGGTTTGAATGAAAGAAGCTCCATAGCATTTCGGTAGCTAAACCAGAACTTGATTGAGTATCCAGTTGTGTCATGGTCGGATGTGCACAATCAGTATCAATCAAAAATTAGGGTCGAGGATGACCAGTTGGGAGCCCCCTCAGGTGCAGTTCACCCTAATAGATTCGCAGTTAAGCCCCGAAGGACACAGACCGGGGATCAAGATTCAACAAAGAACGGTACCAAACATATGATCGAAGAAACAACGGCCCGAACCGCTATACCACTCGGAGCGATCGAGGAAGTAACCAAGGTGCAGGTTCTCGGGGGCTCATGAGCAAGAACGGGTTTGATTAGCACGTCTACCCCGCCGAAGCCCCCCGATTATTAAAATACAATTTCAGCATAGATGCATCAGAGATCGTCTCGGCTATTAAGAGAATCAAAGATACTAAGTGGCCCAGGCCAATAAAGACTGAGCCCTCCCAAAGGAACCCGAACTTGATGTGTAAGTATTATGGCACACATGGTCATAGAATAGAGGACTGCAGACAACTAAGAGAGGACGTGGCTAGGTTGTTCAATGAGGGCCACCTTCGTGAATTCTAAGTGATCGGGCTAAGAATCACTTCAGGGATAGGTATGCAGGCGGGAAGAGTGAACCAAAAGAACCCCAACATGTCATTCACATGATCATCGGCGGAGTCGACGTCCCGCAGGGACCAATATTCAAACGCGTCAAAATATCCATCACAAGGGAAAAATGGACTCGGGATTACTTGCCTGAGGACACCCTCACATTTAGTGAGGAAGACATCGAGGCTCTATATCAACCTCACAATGATGCACTGGTAATTTCTATCCTTTTAAATAAAGTTCAAGTTAAACGTGTTCTCGTGGATCCAGGTAGTTCGGCGAATATATTCAGGTCCAAGGTCATGGAGCAGCTCGGGTTGCTTGATCAAATCATATCGGCATCTCGGGTCTTGAATAACTTTAACATGGCAAGTGAAACGACAAAGGGAGAAATCATCCTCCCAATCAATGTGGTTGGAA